TGAGGCGGAAGGATCGCCGGAGCCCAGCAGGTCGTGGCTGCAGTGGCCATGAGCGGCCACTGCACTCCAGTCTGTGTGACAGAGTGAGACTCCAACTTAAAAAAAAAAAAAAAAAAAAGACATTCAGAACTTAATGGGGAGAAGGGGGCTTCTAACACCTGCTCCCCTCAGTTCCTCTCTTCGTAGTCTCCGTTCCAGAAAGGGACAGAGCCTTGAATTCCAGGGAAGAGAAGCCAGCCATCCCAGTCTGCCCACATCCTGCCCTTACCTGAGAGTGGTCGCAGACCCACAGAACAGCCAAGAAACCAAGCAGTGGTTGCTTTTGGGGGTGTGGGCTGTCAAACCTCATGGCTGGCTGCACATGCAGTTGTGGGTGTGTGTGACTGAAGGCGGGTGGGAGTGGCGGTTTCACTTGCTCTTTCTCTGACTGGGGTATCTCCCAGGCTGTCTTGCCGGCGCTCCCTGTGATACTCTCTGGACCGCCTGCATACATCATGCCATTTCTGTGTTCTGTCCCAGTCTGCTGTGAGTGTCCTCAGGTGACCTGGTGGGCAGGCTTTCGTGCCCCAGTCTTGCCCTTCTCCAGGCCTCGGTTTCCCCACCTGTAAAAGTACAGGAGTTGATCCAGGAAGAGGTCTCCCTAGAAGTCTTGAGCATATGAACTACCGTGTCTCAGGGCATTTGGGGACAGGTAGAAAAAGCCCAGAGACACAGCAGGTTAACACTGGTTGAAAGCCGAGGGGCAGGGCTGAAGTGGGTGGGATCATGGAGGGAGGAAAGGAAGGATTTGTTTCAGTAGGAGTTGCTGGGACAAAAGGAGGGTGGCAGGAGCATGCGGGGCGCTTGGGATGGCAGCAGAGAAGCCCCACGTGTGGCAGGAAGCCAGCCTGGGCAGAGGTCTACAGGCCCGGAGGAGCAGGAGGGCCATGGCCAGTAGGGCAGGGGCTCCCTGCCACCCCCGCCCTGCCCAGCCCTTCCCAGCCACAGGGGGCTCCCTTCCCGTGAGGCAGGAGCTGCCCCGGGCGCCGAGACCTCCACTCGCTGCCTCCCTCCCAGGCGGGCCGCCCAGATGGGGAACTCCGAGGGCCGGTGAGGCGGAGCTGCAAAGGGGGCGGGACCGGCTTCCCCACCCCTTCGGCCGGCTCCCCGCCCACTGCTTATTTTTAGCCCGTCTAGCGCCTGTCCCTCTTGCCTCCCCCCGCAGGCCAGGAGAGGAAACGGAGGCCTCTCCCTGCCGGGCCTAGCACGTTGCTCCCAGCAACCGGGCCCAAACAGGCCTGCGGCGGCCCTGGCTTCCATATCTGGCATCGGCGCTGGGCTGAGGACGGTGACTCAGCGGGCGGGTCAGCGCCTGGCCCGGTGCCCACCCGGCCCCTTTCCCGATGCCTTTCTTCCCCAGAGCCCTGGCCTCCCTAGCCTCCAGCCACAGCCCGGCGCCCCCCAGCCTCAGGTCGCCCACCAGCGCCGGCTCTCCTTCCCACCTTTCTTTTCTCTGCGCTCCCCTCCCCGCCTCCACGCCCCTCCCCCTCTGTGCCCTCTCTCTCAGATCAGATTTGCCAGTGCTGGGAAGAGTTAGAAACAGGATGCCCAGCCCTTCTTGCCTCACAAGGCCGCTGGGATGCAGCCACCCCTGTGCTTGGGAGCCTGGAGGATGCAGGGGAGGGAGCTGGCCTTCCACTGGCACGGCAAGGGGCCTGGGGCAGGACACAGCAAAGCCAGGGTCTCCCCTGTGAGCACTAGAGGATTTCCCGACCCCTGCCCGGGTATTGTCCGCCTGAACATGAGTCACCTGAGGGACCCAGGTTCCCACCCTTCCCAGCTCCTCTGGCTGCCCCACCCTGTCCTCCCTGCCAGCCTGGCACGGGAACATTATTCGGCACCTGCCCAGCTTTCCCGCTGCCAACCCCCTGTGGACTGGGCCCGGGCAGCACCACCACCCTGGAGCCAAATGCCCGGCCGGGGTCTGCTTTGGTCCCTGCTAGGTCTAAGGACCTCTCCAAATGGTGTTTGGAGGACTTGGGGGAGGAGAGGAGAAGCACTGGGCTCTGCTGTCCCCCGCCATCTCTCGGGTGTGCGTGTGGCTCCCTGGCCATAGAGCTTCTGAGGTCTGAGTCATGAGCCCATGGGTGACAGTGGCTTCTTCCCCGCAGATGGGAGCTCCCCCTGCCTGACTAAGAAAACCACAAGGACTCGTCCTTGCTTCCCTCTCTTTGCTTGTGGTTTCTTTAATCGGCAGGGTGTGTCTTGTCCTTTGATAACTCCTCTTTGAGAGCTAGTCAGAACCCAGAACTTGGGGAGAGAAAGGCAAGTAGCTCCCTTAATTCCACTGGGGGCCGTATATTGTGCATTTCTGATGCTGTACAGCCCTGAATTCCAGCTCTGCCGCCTGCATGCTTCGGAATCCTGGACAGAGCTTCCCACGCCTCAGTTTCCTCCATTACAGAGTAGTAGCACCTATCTCATAGGATGGCTGTGAAGGCTAAATCAACACTACAATATTCAGAGTGGTGTCTGGTGCACAATAAGCCCTATAGGAGCGTGTGCTGTTATTTAATATGATCACCACTGTCACCACCTTGGAAAGCAGCAGGAAATGAAGAGGTTAGACCCAAGAAAAAACTCTGTGCTTGTCAGGTCATAAGCTTGCAGAGAACAGGGACCAGACACCTGTTTTCCTTGGTCAGTGTCCGCCAGGCCCAGGCCCTTGGTGTTGCCAAGGGAAACTCCTGGAGTTCGTCCTCTGGCATCTAAGGAGGCTAGAAAGGCTGGCACCTGAGAGGCTGGAGAGGCAGGACTGGGGAAAGGAGGCCCCTGAGACATCCCACTGCCTTTCTCCTCCCAGGTCAGGGGATTGTCTTGTGCCATGGTGGCTGGTCTTTTCCTCCTCCCTACTTCTCTATTCTTGCTGGACTTTGTGGCTTAGGAAGGCAGTGAGGCGAGGGAGGAGGCATCCGAAGTCAGCAGCCAGAAAGCAGCTGCTAACTTGCAGCGCTTGACACTGGGCCATTCCCTTTCCTCCTCTGGGTCTCAGTTTCTTCATCTGTGAAAGGAGAAGGTTGAGCCGCCCAGGACAGAGCTACAGCCTAGCCTTCAGGGTGCAGAGGCCTCCTCTGGGAAGCCCCGCCAGCCTGGGAGTTGGCCCAAGTGGCTCAGAGTCTGTGTCTGCCACCGGCTTCACTTTACCAGCGGTTTTTCTTCATTCTCCCTCCTCCCCCTGCTGCTGCCTCAGCTTCGGAAAAGTTCTGAAGTCATGGAAAGTTGGGGCTGTGCTCCCAGCCAGGGCCTGGGCCGGATGGCAGCCAAAACCTGAGCTGGGTTTTGACTTTATTTTTAGCTTTTCTGACTGAGACGGAGGAGGGGAGCCGTCCTCAAGGTCTGGAAGGGCCTCTTTTTGCAGGAGACAGACACTGTTGCGTTAAACAGCTTGTTTCAAGGTGTGGCCAGAGGACTGGCCCAGGCAAGCATGGAGGCCAGCGGAGCTTCCTCCGGATCTTCACATCCCTTCCCTACCCCTCTGGGTATCACTCTGTCCCCTTCCCAGCCTGGTGGAGTCCAGTTGGAGAGGACCCAGAGCACTGTCTCGGTCTCGTCCCCTCCCTCCAGAGCTTCTGCATGTCTGGCCTTCTCTGTCCCTCTTCAGAGTGAATTGGTGGGCCTCTTGGAGTTTAGGACTTTTGCGGCAGGAGAAGAATGTTGGCGGGGACACTGTTCCCCCTTCCAGGCTAGATTTTTCTTCCTGCCCACGTTTGGTTTTCCTTTTTTCCATCTGCTGGGGTGGGCCCATGCTTAAGGTCTGATGAGTTGCAGATGGTAGCTGTGACCAGGCTGCTCGGATCCTTCCCCCACTCCCTACTACTTTCTCTCACCCTATATTTGTGAAGGGATTGGAACATCTGGAAAGTTCTTGGGTTCCCTGGAGATTTTTAAGAAAATAGGACCCCACTACTCCAGTTTGCTAGCAAAATCTAGGGCCTAGAAAGACAAGGGAGGCAACGGAGGCAACCCTGTTCAGTTGGTTCTAGTTAAAGCTTTACCTGGCTGGGTGTGGTGGTTCATGCTTATAATCCTAGCACTTTGGGAGGCCGAGGTGAGAGGATTGCCTGAGCCTGTAGGTTTGAAACCAGCCTGGGCAACTTGGTGAGACCTCATCTCTACAATAAATCAAAAACATTAACCGGGCATGGTGGCACATGCCTGTAGTTCCGGTTACTTGGAAGGCTGAGGCGGAAGAATCGCCTGAGCCCTGCAGGTGGAGGCTGTGGTGGCTGGGAGCGTGCTACTGCCCTCAAGCCTGGTTAACAGAGTGAGACTCCAACTCAAAAAACAAAAAAAAACTGCTGGGCTCGGTGGCTCAGCCTGTAATCCCGCGTCTTGGGAGGCTGAGGGGAGTGGATTGCCTGCGCCCGCGGGTTCGAGACCTGCCTGGGCAAGTTGGCGAGACCTCATCTCTACAATAAATAAATAAATAATTAGCTGGGCGTGGTAGTGCGCACCTGTAGTTCCAGCTACTTGGAAGGCTGAGGCGGAAGGATCGCCGGAGCCTAGCAGGTCGAGGCTGCGGTGGCCGGGAGCGGCCACTGCTCTCCAGTCTGGGTGACAGAGTGAGACTCCAACTCAAAAACAAACAAACAAACAAACAAAAAACAAAACTTTACCCTTGCTGGACTTGGTGGCTCATACTCGTAATCCTAGCACTTTGGGAGGCCAAAACAGAGGATCATTTGAGGCCAAATGGCAAGAACTTGTCTTCACAAAAAATTAGCTGGGCATGGTGGTACGTGCCTATAGTCCCAGCTACTTGGGAAGTTGAGGAGGGAGGATCGCTTGAGCCCAGTAGTTCAAGGCTGAGGTGAGCTATGATCGTGACACTGCACTTCATTCTAGATGACAGAGTGAGACCCCTAATTCAGAAAAGAAAAAAAACTAAGCTTCATGCCGGGCTTGGTGGCTCAGCCTGTAATCCCGTGCCTTTGGGAGGCTGAGGTGAGTGAATTTCCTGAGCCCGCGGGTTCGAGACCCACTTGGGCAACTTGGTGAGACCTCATCTCTACACTAAAACTCAAAAAATTAGCCAGGTGTGGTAGGGCGTGCCTGTAGTTCCAGCTACTTGGAAGGCTGAGGCAGAAGGATCATCGGAGCCCAGCAGGTTGAGGCTACGGTGACCGGGAGCGTGCCACTGCCCAGCCTGGGCAACAGAGTGAGACCCCGACTCAAAAAAAAAAAAAACAAAACTAAGCTTCATTTAGTTTGAGGAGCAGGGCAGCTTAAGCTGGAGCCCACATGGACCTAGAGGCCTGGGAGCTGAGGCTTGTGGATTGGAAGTACAGAGCATTCTCTCAGGGCTCTGATCAGGCAGAGGGAGGGAGGCTGGGACCCCTCTGCTCTGGTCCTGGGAGATGGAAGGGTCAACACCATGCCTGGCTGTCCTCATTCAAGGTCTCCCTGAACTGTAACCATATTGTCCTTCTCCACAGTCCCACATGCGTAAAGGGGATTAGGGAGGTGACCAACACAGTTGGGGCTCAAATTGAGAAGCATAGAAGCATTAGTGGCCCCCGGGATCTGGAGCCGAGTTGCCTGGCTCCTCAAGGGAGGATAGCTTGGCTGAATGGAAGGTGGGTGGCGTCCAGGGAGGAGAAGGTTAAGGCCCGTGTGGGAAGAGGCAGGAGACAAAGGTGCCCCTGTCTCTTTGGGAAGGAATGGGAGGGGAGAGAGGGAAATGCATTCATATCATGGGACCCAGCTTTGCCCTTGGCCCCAGGCACGTTCCTGAGCCCTGAGTCATGGGAAGGGTGGAGAAGCAGGAAGGGGGCTTTTGGGGACCTTGGGGGAGGTGGGAGCCCAACCTCGGAGGCAAGCAGATACAAACGAACCTAAAGCAAGGGTGCCCTCTCCTGGTAGCTTGGGGACAGCAGTGCCAGCCCCCACAGTTGACCCCTGGAAAATCTGGCCCACTCCAGTATACCCTTTTTCTTAAACCTACTCTTAGCTGGACATGGTGGCTCACGCCTGTAATCCCAAAACTTTGGGAGGCCGAGATGAGAGGATTGCCTGAGCCTAGGGGTTTGAGACCAGCCTGAACAATTTGGTGAGACCTGATCTGTATAATAAATCAAGAAAAATTAGCTGGGCGTGGAGGTATGCACCTGTAGTTCCAGCTACTTGGAAGGCTGAGGCAGAAGAATCGCCTGAGCTGGGCAGACCAAGGCTGTGGTGGCCATAGTGTACCCACTGCACTCCAGCCTGGGCGACAGAGAGAGACTCTTAACTCAAATAAATAATAAACAAATAAAATAAACCTACTCTTCTCTCTCTTCTTTAGCAATACCAAGAAGGAGGGTGACCTGTTGGCTGCTCAGGCCCGGCTCAAGGACCTGGAGGCTATGCTCAACTCCAAGGAGGCTGCACTGAGCACTGCTCTCAGTGAGAAGCGCACGCTGGAGAATGAGCTGCACGATCTGCGGGGCCAGGTGGCCAAGGTGAGGCCTCGACCTGGGGTACCAACGGCCTGCCTGACACATGCCCAGTCACTCTCCTATGCTGGCCCGCCCTTAGGAGGTGCCTGGTCTGCCTGTCACCTGATCTCAGAACCATTCATCTGCCCTAACATCATTTTGCTCATGCAGACCATATCTCTTCCTTCTTTGGCCACTCATGGGATCTAGCACAGCGAATTTAAAATAATTCATAGGCAGCCAGCACAGAGGCTCATGCCTGTAATCCCAGCACTTTGGGAGGCGGAGGCTAGAAGATTGCTTGAGACCATGGGTTCGAGACCAGCCTGAGCAATATGGCGAGACCTCGTCTCTACAGTAAATCAAAGAATTAGCCAGGCATGGTGACACGTGCCTGTAGTTCCAGCTACTTGGACGGCTGAGGTGGAAGGACCATCTGGCCCCAGCAGGTAGAAGCTGTGGTCACTGTGAGTGTGCCACTGCACTCCAGTCTGGCTGACAGAGTGCGACTCTGACTCAAAAAAAAAAAAGAGTTGACGGCTAATTACATATGGCATGTGTGTTAATCATGCTTTGCATGTATGCAGTGCCCTTGATTTCATTTTTATTTTTATTTATTTTTGAGTCAGAGTCTCACTCTGTCCTTGTCCCCTAGGCTGAAGTATAGGGGTATGCTCACGGCCACTGTAGCCCTGACCTGCTGGGCTCAGGCGGTCCTTCTGCCTCAGCCTTCCAAGTAGCTGGAACTGCAGTCACGCGTCACCATGGCTGACTAATTTTTTTATTTATTGTAGAGACGAAATCTCGCCATGTTGCCCAGGCTGGTCTCGAACCCCTGGGCTCAGGCAATCCTCTTGACTCTGCTTCTCAAAGTACTGGGATTACAGGTGTGAGCCATGGCACCCAGCTTGGTCTTTACTTCAAAACACTTTGCTCTAATTCCTCATGTAAAAAGCCAGGGAACAGAAGCAAAGAAGCAAACTTATTCCCAGTTTCAGGCCTCATCTGCTCAGAGCAGGCCAGGACTAGCATCAGTAGCCAGGCATCCATCCTGGGCTTTCCCCTCCCAGGCCCTGCCACCACAACACACCAGGGGAGACCCAGAGAAGCCTGAGCCAAGGCTGGGCCACTCTCTTCCTGGTCTCCAGTCCCACCCTCCCCTCCAGCCTTTCCCAGCTGCAAGACCAGCCTGTGCTTTCTAAACTGAAGATCTAGACAAGGTGCCCCCCAGCTCAGACATCTTCAGAGGTTCTTTTTGTGGCAGATAAGGGTGTCTCTGGGTGCTGTGGCTCATACCTGCAATCCCAGCACTTTGGGAGTCCAAGGTGGGAGGACTGCTTGAACCCAAGAGTTTGAGACCAGCCTGCACAACATAGCGAGACCTCGTCTCTACAAAAAAAAAAAAAAAATTAGCCAGGTGTGACAGTCCAGCTAACCAGGAGGCCGAGGCAGAAGAATCCTTGAGCCCAAGAGGTGGAGGCTGTGGTAAGCTGTGATGATTCCACTGCACTCAAGCCTCCAACAGAGTGAGACTCTGAGTCAAAAAAAAAAAAAAAAAGAGTAGCCCAGACACCTGACACAGACACCTCTCCCATCACACTCCTCCCTCCTCACACTCCAGGCTTCAGCAGGACTGATCTTCCTCAAGGCCCCAGAACAGTGTGGCTTCAGACCTCTGTGCCTTTGCACGTGTTTGTTTCTGCCCTTACAGCCATGACAGTGCCCTTCTCCAGGCTCTGCTGGCCTGTCCCTTGGATTTCAGCTTCTTGGAGGCTTTCCCAGACCCCGCCCCCACTCCTCAGGCACTCTCTGGTCCCTTCTCTTGTGTTCCCTCCTTTATAGCAATTGCTATGCTGTACCAGGGAGGGGAGGTCCTATGATTGAGGGGGGAGTATGTCTTTTATGTCTTAGCAGAGCACCTACCCAGAGCAGTTACTTGACTGAGAGGATGTCCTTACCTCATGGGCATCCAAGGCCTTCCCTGCCCCAGGACCTGTTCTGTACATACCGAGGGGTGTGCTGGGAACAGGCTTCCTCCCAGCTCTTGGGTCCTGACTCCTTTCCCTGCCCTCTGCCTGCTTCCTCTCAGCTCGAGGCAGCCCTGGGTGAGGCCAAGAAACAACTTCAGGATGAAATGCTGCGGCGGGTCGATGCTGAGAACAGGCTGCAGACCCTGAAGGAGGAACTGGACTTCCAGAAGAACATCTACAGTGAGGTGGGGACCGGACTTTGCAGGCCAGGGGTAGGGCTGGGTGGGGACAGACAGCATCTTGGGGCTGCATGATCAGCTCTGTGCAGAGCTGTCCGAGTTCCGAGTCCTAGTGGATAGGGGGTGTGGGGTGGCCAGCACCTGGCTCCCGGGGCAAAGTGGGACTGACTTGCCTGTGGAGCTGGGGCTGGGCCAGGAGCATGGCGTCTGGGTCTTGCCTCCGAGCAGCTAATTCTAAGCTTGGTTTTGTGTCCTTGCTCCGACCCTTCCAGGAGCTACGTGAGACCAAGAGCCGCCATGAGATGCGACTGGTGGAGATTGACAACGGGAAGCAGCGTGAGTTTGAGAGCCGGCTGGCGGATGCCCTGCAGGAGCTGCGGGCCCAACATGAGGACCAGGTGGAGCAATACAAGAAGGACCTGGAGAAGACTTACTCTGCCAAGGTGTGTGCTCAGCCCTGGGCCCTCACTGCCTCTGCCCCTCGTCCTGCCCTGCCCAGCCCACACTGGGATATTCCGTGGCAGGCTGAGTGGATGATGGCAGGGAGCTCAGGGTGGCCCAGTGGCAGCGATGCCCTCCTCACACTCCTCCCACTGTCCCTCCTGGTTCTTGAGATCCTAACCCCGTGTCTGCCCCTCCAGCTGGATAATGCCAGGCAGTCCGCCGAGAGGAACAGCAACCTGGTGGGGGCTGCCCATGAGGAGCTGCAGCAGTCGCGCATTCGCATCGACAGCCTCTCTGCCCAGCTCAGCCAGCTCCAGAAGCAGGTGACGCCCCAGCCCACCCCCTCTCCTGGGGTCAGCAGTCTCGACAAGATGCAGGCTGGAAACCCAGGGGAGCTTCCTGAGAGAGGAGGGACAGAACATGCCCCTGGGACCGCGAACTGAGGAGGGCCCTGGGACTTGGAGCCAGGAGGCCTGTCTGCTGTTCGGGACCGCTCTTACCTCACCTTGACTTCTCGGAGCTTCGGTTTTCCCATTTGAAAATGGAGATTAGGCCAGGCACGGTGGCTCACGCCTGTCATCCCAGCACTTTGGGAGGCGGGAGGATTGCTTGAGCCCAGGAGTTCAAGACCAGTAGGGGCAGCAGAGCGAGAGCTTGTCTCTACAAAAAACATCAAAACATTAGCCAGGCATGGTGTGCACCTGGAGTTCCAGCTGCTTAGGAGGGGTATCTCTTCAGCGCAGGAGTTGGAGGCTATGGTGAGCCATGATTGTGCTACTGCACTCCAGTCTGGGCAACAGAGTAAGACCCTGACTCAAAAAAAAAAAAAGAAAGAAAGAAGTTAACTAGGTGTGATGGCTTATGCCTATGGTTCCAGCCACTTCAAAGGCTGAGGTGGAAGGATCACCTGAGCCCAGCAGGTTGAGGCTATGGTGGCCATGAGCCACTGTTCTACAGCCCGAGCAACAGAGTGAGACTCTGACTCAAAAAAAAAAAACAAAAAAAAAGAGAGAGAAAAAGAAAAGAAAATGGAGGTCGTCCTTACCCTCCCTAACTCACAGATCTGCCATAATACTGTGCGATGTGAGATGTTAACAGCATCAATATTATTCCAGCTGAATAATATGCCACTTTTGACAGGAAATACGGTCTAGCCTCAGAAAGAGTGATGTCAGTTAGATATTGGGAAGGACTTCCTGGTCGCCAGCAACACCATGTTTAGAGCCTGTGATGGGCTCTAATGAGGATCTGGAGAGGGCAGTTGGGTGTCCCCTTCCTCTCTATTCCCGGGGCCCCTGGGAGCTCACCAGACCTCCACTCCCCCACCCCAGCTGGCGGCCAAGGAGGCGAAGCTTCGAGACCTGGAGGATTCGCTGGCCCGTGAGCGAGACACCAGCCGGCGGCTGCTGGCGGAGAAGGAGCGGGAGATGGCTGAAATGCGGGCCAGGATGCAGCAGCAGCTGGACGAGTACCAGGAGCTGCTGGACATCAAGCTGGCCCTGGACATGGAGATCCACGCCTACCGCAAGCTCCTGGAGGGCGAGGAGGAGAGGTGGGT